TAATCATTTTCATCATCATCATCACCATCACAATCGTCATCACACTCTTCATCACCATCTTCATCACCATTTTCATCACCATCTTCATCGCCATCTTCATCGCCAACTTCATCGCCAACTTCATCGCCAACTTCATCGCCATCTTCATCGCCACCTTCATCGCCAACTTCATGGCCAACTTCATCGCCATCTTCATCGCCAACATCATCGCCAACTTCATCGCCAACTTCATCGCCAACTTCATCGCCAACTTCATCGCCATCTTCATCGCCAACTTCATCGCCAACTTCATCGCCAACTTCATCGCCAACTTCATCGCCAACTTCATCGCCAACTTCATCGCCATCTTCATCGCCAACTTCATCGCCAACTTCATCGCCAACTTCATCGCCAACTTCATCGCCATCACCTACACCTACACCTACACCTACACCCACACCCACACCCACACCCACAACTACACCTGAACCTACACATACACATGCACATACACCCACACCTACAGACACACCCACACCATCACCCTCACCCACAGTCACACCTACACCTAAACCTACACCTACATACATATATACATATATAATTATATTGGCTCCGTTAGGTTTACATTATGTTTGTCATTTTTTCTTGTTGTACGAACGTGTGAGTGAACTGTCAATATCCCACCTACGTGTCACTAACGCCAGGTGAATCACATGTTTACTGAGATTAACAAGCTCTTCCTATGTCTAATCCCATTCAACACAAATCAACGGGCCAGCTCAGTGGAGCTTCACGAGTCAGTGTTGTAGCCTTTGCCAATACTGTTTAAATATTCCTAACTTACATTACAGTCAGGGAAACCAACGAGTAATATAAGAATTTCACCTTATCTCTGATTTCTAAGAATCATCACATTATTGTGTAACGTATAATGTTTGGAGAGTATAGAGGCGTGGTTTGATACAAGTGAGAGATTTTTAGTGTTGAAATATTGAGTTTGTTTGTTTTAAAATAAAAACTTTGTTTTTAAAAAAATGTTGACACAGTTTTACATGTGGATATAAAACCAATTCGGCTAAGCATAACAACCGTTTAGCCAGGACAGATGACTATGACAGTACATTATATCGTAGATACATAACCAATCAAAGGCCCTGTTTTATAAAACAATGTTATAAAATTGAATCAAGATTAGCTTCAGCCTTTTCGTAAAAACTCTATAAACTATACGAGGTTTTATGAACAGATCTCTAATAAATATGTCAAATTCACTCAAGCGACGATACTTTTACATTATGATGGCTTTTAAATGGCAATATTATTGCACAAATATTTGAATAACAATCGACGGTCAGAAATATGGCTTCGTTTTCGTAACGGACGTCAATGGAAGCACCCGGGAAAGTGGACTCGTAGGGGGCGTGTCCCAGGGCGCTTTAGGTCAAAGGTTACCCATGTATCGTGATCCCTATCTCAACCTTTGCCCTTAAAGTCTAAAAGAATGCTTAGATTTTCATTTGGCACTATCTTTTGCTGTAGCTACCAAATGGGCAACAAACATTGGTAATCTTATCGCCGTAGGGCGGAGGCGTAGCGAGGTCGGGTGTCACCCGGTGCGGCACTTAATGGTGTCACCCCCTCAGAGGCGTAGCGACTCTTCCCAGGGACAAACTTTCAATTTTCGATTTGCACCCCCCCCCTCAAACTTTCGATTTGCACCCCCCTTCAAATTTTTCTCTATATATTTTACTATTTTTTGCCTTGGTGTCACCCCCCTAAATGGTGTCACCCGGTGCGGTCCGCACCCCCCCCCCTCGCTACGCCTCTGCCGTAGGGCCTCCACTTTTTTTGGAGTATCCTCTTTAGAATGGGTTGCTATCCCAAACTAAATAGCCTCGTCTGCCCAAAGGGGTCAAGCTTGTGAATACAATGTTAATAAAATAGACTAATAAAGCAGGACGAAGATATACTAATAAAGCAGGATATGGAGATAGACAAATAAAACAGGACTATAATGTGTCGTTTATTAAATCGATATTATATCAAAACTTCATCATACATGATTATCTCAACAGGACAAGGAAGTTATTTTTAAGACAAAGATAAACTGCTATCAAAGAGAGTCCTTTCAGTTTACAACACAATAGATGTTGTTTGTGATACACAATAAATATCTAAATTTATCTCAACGCTAATATCTTAGTCTTTAGTAAACCAAGAATCTAATTTAAAACAGCTTTAGGTGTGGCAAGGGTTCCATGATCCGTAAGACTTGCTCATACAAAATATTTGGGAAACCTTGAGTTAAGAAATCATTGGCACCATATTCAAATGGTGCCATTTTAACCCCTACACACTGTTGTACATGTATTGTGCTAACCCATCTAACCCCCCCCCCCCCCACTCCCACAATATTTTATTTAAGCCCTAACTGTTTTAAGAAACGTTACTTTTCCCAGACAAATGCAGTTGTTTTTTTTTTCAATAGATCTGTTCCTTTGGTTCCCCCCCCCCCCCCCCCACACACACAACTCCAAGGCGTCTGTTGGCTGCAACACAACACATCCCAATAATCTGCGGCAGATCTGTGTCAACAAAATGACACAAAATTATTCAAACATCCAGCATATAATATTTTATTTAACTGACTACACAATTTTAAAAGAATCAAGCGACTAACGCTTTTACACATCCTCTAGCTTAAAGGTCCTTTTGGTCGGGGTCTTACCAATCCCACCCCCCCCCCCTCAACAAAACTTAGGTCTGGGGAGCCTTGTATATTTTGAATAATAAAAACTACTTTCCGTTAGCTTGTCATGTAAAATGTTTAACTACCACGGTGCCCATACGAATGTTTAACTACCACGGTGTCCACACGAATGTTTAACTACCACGGAGCCCACACGAATGTTTAACTACCACGGTGCCCACACGAATGTTTAACTACCACGGTGTCTAGACGAATGTTTAACTACCACGGTGCCCACACGAATGTTTAACTACCACGGTGTCTAGACGAATGTTTAACTACCACGGTGCTCACACGAATGTTTAACTACCACGGTGCCCTCACGAATGTTTAACTACCACGGTGCCCACACGAATGTTTAACTACCACGGTGCCCACACGAATGTTTAACTACCACGGTGTCTACACGAATGTTTAACTACCACGGTGCCCACACGAATGTTTAACTACCACGGTGCCCACACGAATGTTTAACTACCACGGTGCCCACACGAATGTTTAACTACCACGGTGCCCACACGAATGTTTAACTACCACGGTGCCCATACGAATGTTTAACTACCACGGTGCCCACACGAATGTTTAACTACCACGGTGCCCATACGAATGTTTAACTACCACGGTGTCCACATGAATGTTTAAGTTCTACACCTCCCGTTGAAGCGGATATACGTTACAGTGAACAGACAAGGAATATAAGCTCGATACACCATCAGGAGAACATCACCCTGTCTTCGATTCTCGCTTTTAGTATTTACAGAGTTATTCCCCTGCAGAAACTATAAATCGATTAGGACATGTGGACAAAACTTACTACAAGAGGTCTGACTATATTCACTAGCTGATTAAAGCAGTGTTTGGCTAGGCTGCAGTCACGGTCCTTTGGTTGTTAAGGCCTAATAAAAATCACAATATGAAATAGTTTTGAGGACGTAGGTTCATTTTCAAAAGACAGGTCCCACTTACATCTAACCTCACCCCCCCCCCACCATTTCCCTTCAGCATACATGATATAATGACTATCTCAAACAGTTAGAGACACAATTGATGAAAAATTTGTTTTTATTGATGAATGAAATTATTTTTAAATTATAAAAAAATTTCAATTTTTGACAATTCGTCGACTCAAGTTTTACAAATAGAATCGACAAAATAAAGAAGTCCATAAGCGCCGAATTTAAAAAAATAAAACTTGATTATGTAAAAATTCTTAATGGTATTATAAACCATGAAGGTACTGATAAAGCATTAAGCTACTTATAAGTATAATTAGTATAAATACGACTAATAACAAAGCATTACAATCCCAACAAATGACCCTATACTTGTAAAGTACAGTAATTGAATTATATCAAGTCTAACAAAACAAAACATGCCAGATAAAGTTGTTCCCTAATGTTTGTTTACATCAGACGCTGGTCAGCAAGCTGTCACAGATGGCGACATGTATGTCCTCATCATGTCATAATAACAGTTTGATGCTCAACATACTACACAACATACGCCTACAACATACATGCGATCTAGTTCTATCAGAAACTAACATCTCTTACCCCCCCTTGTTTATTTTTAAAGCGCATATCACAAGGGACGACGCCTCGCTATTCTTGTGATGTGATGTTAGAAAAATCTAAGACTTTACTTTCTATATTGTTTACTGCTGACTAAAAACAATTCAGCGTGTTAGTCCTGTTACAGATTTGTTAATGTCTAAAGGGCATCATGGCTGAGTAAGAGATTGGTTGTGTTTATATGTACTTGAGAAATTTGGCGACAAAATCACGTGCTCTATGGCAGAGGCGTAGCGAGGCGGGGGCGGGGGGGGGGGGGTGCGGACCGCACCGGGTGACACCATTTAGGGGGTGACACCAAGGCAAAAAATAGCAAAATATATAGAGAAAAACTTGAGGGTGGGGGGATGGAAATCAAAAGTTTAAGGGGGGGGGGGTGCAAATCGAAAGTTTGAGGGGGGGGGGGGGGTGCAAATCGAAAATTTGAAAGTTTGTCCCCTGGTAGGATCACTACGCCTCTGGGGGGTGGGGGGTGACACGATTAAGTGCCGCACCCGACCTCGCTACGCCACTGCTCTATGGAAATTGTGGGAAGTGTTTAAAATTACGTGCTCTACCGATATTGTGAAAAGTTTTTAATAGAACATGTAGGATCTGCTAAAGTGGTTTGTGTTTAGTATAACACGGTATGTGTCTAATATAACACGAGAAGTGTGTTTAATAGAACATGATGTAATAATATGTGTTTAATGGAACACGATATATGTGTTTAATGGAACATGATATATGTGTCTAATATAACACGATATATGTCTTTAATGGAGCACGATATATGTATTTAAATATGGAACACGATATATGTGTTTAATGGAACACGATAAATGTGTTTTAAATATGGAACACGCACATGTCGCTATAAAAATATGTTTATTTTCTCAAAAGATAGATTAACCCTCTTCCTCCTGAGATAAGCGGAGAGAGTTTTTGTACATCATATTTACACAACACTAACATCAATGAGAAAACCGCTGATGTGTTTGCTAGAGGAAGACGTTGCAAATTAAAACTAAGGTTATTAATTAAAAGCAAACATAATTTTAAAACCTAAATTATTACAGGAAAAATTGGGAAGCAAAAACGTGTGGATTTTATTTTTTTTAATGTTTTAGGAAATAATATTCTAAAAGCGAGGGTTATCTCCCCTGGTGATTTAATGCGGCGTTTGACCACACACTGTGTGTGTGTGCAGTGAGCGGTGTGGGTGTGGGGGTGTTTAACGCCCAGCCCAGCTGTGAGCATTATTTACATGCCCGTGCACGCGTCACAACAGCTGTCATTGTGAGCTCTTGGGTGCTGACTATAGCACGTGAATCTTGCACGTCAAAGGTAGGTACTGTAGACATTTTGTTTGTTTACTACTGCAAAGTTTGGATTCGTTTTCGGCGAAAGTAAATTCATGATAAGGGAGGTAAGGTTAAACTTACTTTTATTCAGAGTTATGGTTGATTGTTGAATGAAGATAAAATTTCTTTATATAGTTTTTAATGCAGTGTTGTTTTACTTATGTGGGGTTTCATTTCATTAGCCGTAAGGTTAATTAATTTAATTAACGTTGCGACCTGTAATATCGTTTGATTATCAAGCGTCGATTTCTTTATAAAAACTACACTCAAATGTAAGGTGTTTTTTTTTCAAACGTTTTAAAAAAATAACCAATTAAATTTACCTATTTTCTTCAAGGTTAAAATTAGAATTGTTTTGTTTCGTTCGTTTTTGAGGGTGAGTCACTCTTGTTTTGAAAAATGTATTTTCGTGTGTACTCGGTGAGATATCAATTTGGCTTTCTTTAAAACACCAGGATCTTTGGCTGGCATTTGTTGTGTTCTTACTCATGTTTGTGATGGGTCAGCTAAATGTAATCAGACAAAATGTACTTGAGAGAATTGGTAAGCTAAATGTAATCAGACAAAACGTACTTGAGAGAATTGGTAAGCTAAATGTAATCAGACAAAACGTACTTGAGAGAATTGCTCATCTAAATGTAATTAGACAAAACTTACTTGAGAGAATTGGTAAGCTAAATGTAGTCAGACAAAACGTACTTGAGAAAATTGATGAGCTAAATGTAATCAGACAAAACGTACTTGAGAGGATTGGTAAGCTAAATGTAATAAGACAAAACGTACTTGAGAGAATTGGTGAGCTAAATGTAATCAGACAAAACGTACTTGAGAGAATTGGTGAGCTAAATGTAATCAGACAAAACGTACTTGAGAGGATTGGTAAGCTAAATGTAATAAGACAAAACGTACTTGAGAGAATTGGTGAGCTAAATGTAATCAGACAAAACGTACTTGAGAGAATTGGTGAGCTAAATGTAATCAGACAAAACGTACTTGAGAGAATTGGTGAGCTAAATGTAATTAGACAGAACGTACTTGAGAGAATTGCTCATCTAAATATAATCAGACAAAACGTACTTGAGAGAATTGGTGAGCGGTCTGGTTAAGGTTAGAGTTACACAACTAAACACCGTCAGCTCGTATTTATTCAACGATTCGTGGTTAGGTTTCTTAATAAAGAAACATATGTCGGTTTTAATTCAGGTAAAATTATAATCAGATACAAGTTTGTGTCAGTAAGTGTCAATACATTTGAGTGCCTGTAATTAAAAGTTTTAAAAAATTGTTTTCAATTAAATACAATCGTTGGAAAATGTATTTAGTTGGGATGATGTGCCAATTAGGGAAAAACAAAAATAGTAGATAAACATCGCTCAAGTCAATGATTTTAAAATGTCGATAAGTTGACACTGATTGGCTCACGATGAAAGTAAAATACTCCAGTTGGTCGAGACATAGCTTGCTGTCAGTTGATGTAAATGTCCAGTGTTCGAGTCTAGGGAGTCGGCTGGTGGTACGTGGTAGGGAATCGTTAAGAACATTTTCTCTGATCCTATCGACGCCGAGACAACTGGTGAGGTCACTATCGACGCTGAGACAACTGGTGAGGTCACTATCGACGCTCAGACAACTGGTGAGGTCACTATCGACGCTGAGACAACTGGTGAGGTCACTATCG